GGAACTCATTGTGTAGTTAGGGGCCTAATCTCACCTATTAGTTCAGTTTGATAGTCTTTATTGTCCATTTGATTCTTGTGTTGGCACGAGTTATAGGCTCTTGGGCCTGATGGTTATCTAAGGGACGCTGGACCCGGTTTCCAGCTCTCCGGGTTGCTTTGTGAAGGGATTCCAAGCCTCCGTTTTGGTGCCATCCTATAATGTATTGCACATTTGACAAAAAAAAAAAAAAAAAAAAAGAGGTCAGGCCTGGGGCCTGGACCCACTCGCATCGATTTACGTCTCGGCAGTTTGGTTTTCAACCATGTGTGGCCACAGGTGACGGGCAGCGATCGTTGATCCTTTTCCATATCGAGGGCGCAGGGGGATAAGGTACGATTTCGTGGAGGTTGCTGCCCACCGGCCAATAGAAGACTTTCCTTTTTCTTTTGTTGTCCATTTAGATAGCCACTTTGCGTTGGCGCGAAGCTGCAATTCCTTGGTTTTCAAAGGGGGGGGGGCACGTTTTTGCAGCTTCTCTTCTATGATTTTCAAACTGGGGGGGGGGGGGGGGGGGGTGCAGCTTCACGCCGTTATGTTTTAATGTGCATAAATAGAGAATATTGGACTTCCCGTGGAAGACTGCGATCGTGGCAGTTGAATGCGCCGTCGCAGACTGCATCAATGTGGTAACCTGTGTACTTGCAACCGTGGGTGTATGTGTCCAACATAAGGTCTACGTACGTTGGCCTTTAGACGACTGTAGTTTCCTTTCTGTGACACATGCGTCCCCCTCTTTTTATAGGGACGACCACACAATACTTGCGGGAGTTTCCAAATGAGGAAAGTCCCAATGCGGAAACGCATGGGATATCCTAAAGCGAGTGAGTTCGTGGGCCCCGCGAATATGGCATGCGTTAAATGCCACAAATGGAATGAGTGTCGCCGCCGCCTACAGGAAGATAAAGTTTTTTTTTGTTTGTTTTGTTGTGTGCTGTGGCGAGGCGTCTCGTAGGGAGGCAGGCGCTCGTGCTCTACCAACATGCATAAACATTCTGGCCTACAACCTCTCGCCCGAGCACGACATGCAAAACTGCCGTCTTCTGTACGTTGGGATATGCTGTCACCTCCTGTCCGTTTCTCTCCGTCTCGCGCCTCTGCAGTTCGTCGCTGTGCACCGTTAACTTACTGAACACGGAAGACGACGAACAGCCGTCCCTGGCCCAGTACTGCCAGCCGGCAGGCCTGTCTTGTATCGAAGACTGGGGGTACTCAGAAACCCAGAATGAGGCCCCACCTGCTACAGGTACCAGTTCGTCATCACAGGTGGTGGGACAGCATCAGCAGTCGTTCACGTATGATGGCTGCCAGTCCCCATGCCCTATTGGAGACAACGCGGGGACACAGGTCCATGGATCGGTGGGAGATCTGCAGTGGCCCCACACGAGTTCTAAGTTCCTGTGCGGTGGTCCAGCATGGAGTGGGGGGCCCGTCCGTGGCCCGGACAATGCAAAGGTCACTGCTTCTGTGACCGATGTCCCACGGCCCTTTGTTGTCACAAGTCGACGACACTTGTCATGTCCGGTTTCGCCAGTGGGTGGGTTCAGAATCGGATTAGGCGGAGAGGATGAGATTAGTCTTCGGCAGCACCTGCGAATGCGTGCAATGGCCATGGCAGACAGGCTTTCGGTGGTCACGTCACATCTCCTGCTCGTAACGACGGAAGCTGCCATGGCTGTCCCGGTCCATCCACTGTCAGTTCTGTGGATACTGACACAATGGGGTGCCGTTCGTCACCCCCTCCCGCAGCACTCTCGCTGACTGGGCACACAAGTCGTCCACTGTCACTGGACCCATTCCGTGGTGCTGGTCTGCCGCACCCGCCTAGACCACGAACCGGGTCACCGGAGTACGTCATGAGTCGCATCATTCGGGACAAAGAAGCCGGTGTCCCACCGGTGGACTGCCCAGCCAACACGGCGGTTGGAGGCGAAGTGGTTGCCTCACCAACGGCCCCTGCCCGCACCCCTCCCCAGCGTGGATCTTTTGAAGGTGGTGGGACTCCGTCTCCGCTCATTGGGCACTCAGCGTCGCAGCACACTCCACGTACTGTGGAGAACTTGGCGGGGACGTCCACCGCAGGGCCGTCCGAAGGGCCCCCTCCACGACCGTGTTCAACTGAGAAGAATACGGATCGGTGGGGGGAGACCGAGACTGAGTGGTTGTGCCGGTTCAGGAATGACATGAAGGCTTTGGGGTGCACGAGGCTGAAAGCATGTTTTTGGAAGGATGTGGTTGAGCGCATGCGGGCGAAGGGTTACAACCGTAACCCTGATCAGTGCAAGAACAAGTTCAATCAGATCCTTGACTATTACAGAAGATTGAAGGCACACGAAAGCTGGTCAGGTTTGCTGAGCTACTGGGACATGAACCAAACGAGGCGGAAGAAGTACAACGTCAGCTTTGTTCTTCGCCGGGCTTGGTATGACATCATACACCCGGTGGAGAAAGACAAGGACTCCATTAATCTGACGAATTTGATGGACTCGGGGGTGGACGAGGAGCATCTTGAAGACAGTGAAAGGTGCAACGAGGTTGATGGGGAGACAGAAGGAGGAAGTGAAGGTCCGGCGGGCGGGTCGGACAGTTCACCGGGCGGGCCTGACAGTTCACCGAGCGGGCAACATTCAACGGGTTTCGATCCGATGCTAGGTAAACGAAAAAGAACTGCCATCAATGCTCGCGAGTCGAGTCTGCAGGCTGTCATAGGTGCTATGCGTGATCACACCGCGGCTCTCGCATGTTCTGACAGGGAGTGCGTGAAGATGCGTTGCGAAGTGACACGTGACATCGCAAGGCATCAGGCTGAGGTTCATAGAGAGCTTATGCAGCAGGACATTGCGTCACGTGAGAGGATAGCTACTATAACTGGGGATAGGCTGGAGAAGGGTTATCTCGTTCTTGCAGATGCCATCCATAGTTTGCGTCCCCGTAGGAACAGTCCATCTTCCGGGCCGGATAGCAGCGATTCACAGTAGTTGCAGTTGTGTATGGGGAGATGTTTGTTTTGTCTATCTTGTTTTCAATTTCTTTTTTGGTCGTGTCCTATTTTCATCCGCTGCGTCCTTAGGCTAGCGTGTGGAGTTGTGTATACCGAACACAACAACACATGCCTTGTAATCGTGTTCACCACTCCTTTTTTGGATGAATGTGGAAGCTAGTGTCTTCATGTACATTATCAGCCTGAAACGAGGTCATCTGCCTTTCAAACGAGTTGTAACAATTTATGCATTGTATTTAATGATGGTCTGACATTATTCTCTCTCTCTCTCTCTCTCTCTCTCTCTCTCTCTCTCTCTCTCTCTCTCTCTCTCTCTCTCTCTCTCTCTCTCTCTCTCTCTCTCTCTCTCTCTCTCTCTCTCTCTCTCTCTCTCTCTCTCTCTCTCTCTCAAAAGAGGGCGGGGAACATCGTATCATAACAGCGCGAGGGAATGTATGGATCGATAGATGGAGCGTAGTGAGAGGAAAGATCGGTCTGAGTTCGGTGCTAGTTGAAGGGAAAGAAATGCGCATTAAGGATTGCAAAAAGATCTTGGAAGAAGGGTGGGATTTTTCGGTGGTGAGTCTTCGGGTGGCGCCAACAGGCGTCGAGCATCGGCGGAATATCCTTAGGGAACTGCGGAGGAATCCTGGTAGAATTCGTGGGATGTACAGTAGGAACTCTCGCGAATTGGTTGCCCTATATAGGACATGCTCACTTTTCGGGGATAAGAAGGTGAGGAATTAGTTAAAAACCTCTCTCACCAAGATTGTGAGGTGGAAGTTTGGGATAGAGATTAGGAGGCGGCCGTGTATCAAGGTACCATTCTCACCGAACATTCGGTTGGGAGAGGTGAGGAGAATAGAGGCACGAGTCATTGAGGAAGCGATTCCAGACCCCTATCTGCGCTGTTTCGTCGCAGCAAAGGTTAGGACGGTTACCAAGAGGAGGAGGACGGTTGGCGGCGTCATCCACAACCACTGGGCTTAGCCGAGATGGAGCATGCACAATGCCGATGTACTACCGCAAAGTTACCTAGGACAAACAGACATATTAAGGTACGGATTGACCAAGTATCCGGGATGCCTAGCTTCGTTGCGAGTTCGAGGAATGTGACATCTGGGTATACGGTGCCCTTGGGAATATTGGAGGAATGCATCATGGAGGGAGTTGGAGCGTGGGTCAAAGGAAGGCAAGCGGGGGTCAAAAGTTCCGAACTACGTGAGTGTTATCACAAAGAAGAAGTAAAGAAGTAAAGAACGCAATGAGGCCCTATATGGATTTGGTCGTGGTTCCTATCGATAGGAACCCCGGTTCGACGCTTCTGATGTGTCCACAGCTATACAATGAAGCATGCAGGGACACCTTCAATCTCAACCCGAGCTTTGTGCGGGTACAACAAGGCGAGGACCTAGTACTGAAGAAGATGAAAAGAGAATTCGATCGTAGGGGATTAGGAAGAGTAGCGAGGTGGCAGACGGGTGGAAAGATTGGACAAGCATACGTACTACCCAAGTACAAGGACCTGGAGTGATGGAGACTGATTTCCCCGGCCACCAATGATCCAGCAAGGTTGGCGGGAGCGAGCGCTGGAAGAGCCATCCGTTACATGCTCTTCGGACTGAACAGACGAACACACTTCGATCTGAAAGCTACAGAGGAACTGAAGGAGCTGATGAGGAAGTTTGAAAGAGAATTGGGGAATGCAGCAGATGGAGCGATGGTAGGTAGTTATGACATCAAAGATATGTTTGCCAGGCTATCTCACAGCAGCGTGTTGGATGCTGTCGACTTGATCACTCAGTTATGTGCATCAAAGGGATTCAGAGGGGTGAGTGTAAGTCTGAGAGGGAAGATTTGTATGATGATAAGATTAGAACGCATGAGGGAGGGGTTCATTAATCTATCATTCGCGGTGATTCACTCGATTATTCAGTTTGAGCTGGAAAATACGTATGTGAAATGTGCTGGGAGCCTACTGAAACAGGAATTCCCATGGGGAGGAACTCTAGTCCAGCTCTTGCGTGTTTGGTGTGTGCAAAAGCGGAGTCGGCATTTGTAAGCTCATTGGGATCAAGTCGTGCACAAGTGAGGGGGGTTCGAATGATTGATGACGTGGCAGTTGTTGTTGCGTTTCACTTAGGAGACGAGGGATCAATCCAGACAGCCCATGGAATAATGAAGGCTTTTGAATCGTGTTACGATAAGAGTCTGACCCTGGTCCGCAAGGACGAAGGGAGTAACTCTTTCGATTTTTTGGGCACCAGGATTTTTGTGCTTATAGATCCGATCAGGATTCTGCTTCACCCTAAGACTCGGAATCAGCACTACCTCATGCAAGGAATGGGGCTGAAGGTGCAATCCATGCAGGATTTCGCCTCTTTCTCGAAGAAATCCACAAAAAAGGCATCCGTCTTCGCAGCATTGGTAAGACTTCAGCGGCTTTCGAACTCCGATGATGCCATGAAAGTGGCTATAGCAGCCCCGATCATGGAAACTCGCCTCGGGGGATACCCCCCGGAGGTCTCTCTGGGAGCCCTTGCAAAGTTTGCCAGGCTGTCCGGTGGTACGTGGGGGGGTTTACCTCCCCACAGAATACCCCGGACTTGACAAGTTTATGACAAGTTTATGAACCCGGGTATGTGGAAAGCTGGGCACTGAAGGTCTAACTGCGGGAAAAAACTTTTTGGGCCGATATGTTTTTTTCTGCCTTTGAGTTTTTTCTCTTTCTTCTTTTTTTCTCTTTCTTCTTTTTATTTTCCTTTTTTCTTTTTTCTTTTTTCTTCTTTCTTTTCTCTTTTTTTTTTTTCTTTTTCTTTGACCTTTTCCCTTTCTTTTGTATCTTTGCTTGTCGTGGTTCGTGGGTTTTGGAATAGTCGGTTCGGTCCGGATCTCTGTCCGAATCGTTTGTGAACCTTCCGCCGTTTTTTTGCCAAGTTTCGTTTTTTGCCAAATTTCGTAGTTCGTAGGAAGAGGCGCAGAATCCCAGTTTTTTCGTCGGCTGTCCAGGATTATCTTTAGTAATTTTTGGAGAAGGGCCAGAGTTTCTGCCCAACGGGAGGTACGGTAGTCACTGTGGGTGAGATGCAGAGACCCGAGCTACTCCAACCGATAGCGATGGTAGCAGCAGGTGAAGGAACGGAGGAGGACTTTGAGGAGGAGGAGGAGGAGGAAGAGACGCCGCTGCCACCTGATGAATTAGATATGAATGAGCAGGCCCGGGACCGGATACATGTAAGAGGGAAGAGCATGCATTATGAAGTTTTCCCGATATGCCTCCACGAAGTAGAAGGGAGGGCCAGGGAGCAAGTGGTAGGACGTACGATGTAGAAGCTCCGGGGATAAATAGGACAAGTGGTAGGATTTGGACATCTCGACTTCGAAGGCCCCCTGATGAGACTGCTGTGTGCGCCAGCAGCGAAACGCGTAGGGGCGACGCGTACTGGGCTTTCTTGACAATCTTAAGTGATTTTGATGAGGTTGAGCTGACGATGTGTTCCAGATTGTTTTGTCTTGTGCTTCTCTACTTTATTCTACTTTATTCTCTCTCTCTCTCTCTCTCTCTCTCTCTCTCTCTCTCTCTCTCTCTCTCTCTCTCTCTCACACACACACACACACACACACACACACA